CCCCTTAAGGAAAATGACAAAAAAAACCGACTTATCCTTAAAATAAAATATTGTTTCGGTCATATTTTACTCCTTTTGTTATTTATATTTAATTATAATTATTTAGAAATTAAGAAAAAGAAAGGAAATTTACAAAAAAAAAATTTTCTAAAAAAAATTTATTTTCTCCCATTATGACCATTTGTCTTGGTATGATATACAGGAAGACTGTCCAAGTTTTCCGAGTTATTTCCGCGAAATTAAAAATCTCTATGTACTTGAAATTAAGAAGCTCCCATTACCCACTCTCTCCCATTACCCCACCTTCCCCTAATTTGAATGTCGGGATATACTTCCGAAGTAGGGGTACTTCCGATTTTAATAAAATTTGGTATACTAACGTATTTTGGTGCGCTGATTACGAAAATGATAGTGAAAGTTGGCGCAAATTTGATTATCATGGTAAAAAACATAAAAAAACACCTTAAAATCATGGTTTTTTGCGATTATCTCGTAATTTTTTACCAAAAGTCATTATTTTTCGAGAAAAATCCAAAAAACGATCAAAAACGCAACAAAATGATGGAAAAATAGTAACTAGATACACGGAGAAACTTTAAGTATTACTTTTTCTTAAACTCACTATGTATTTTTAGTAAATTGACTACTAAAGTGGGGAAAAACTGCAACGATATCAATTTTTCTTAGTCTGACTACTAAAATTTGGCATTTGATCGAAAATTAAATTTCACGAAAAAACATTTCGTCGAATGTCAATTCAAGCAGTCACCCATCCAAGTACTAACCGCGTCCAACGTTGCTTAACTTCCGTGATCTGATGAGAACTTGTTCCTTCGCTTGGATAAGAGATGTACATGACATGATATATTTTTTGGGGGTGTTTCATAGACAAGCTCACATGTGCTCAGGAGAGTACTGTATGTTTTTAGCGCCTCTAACTTCATAAAAACAGTATTTTCGATGTATAATCTAACCGGATTGTGAAATTTTAAACACAGAAAAAGAAAAATAACCTAAAGTAAAGCCTCATTAATATTATTTATGATTCAATTAAAAGTTAATTAATAATTGTTGCAATTAAGTCGGGGCTTCATCTAACCCTTTTTAGTTACGACACTGTCCACGTCGAATTTTTCTTAACCTGACTACACAGTTTTCTTGTTTGTATCAAATTGATACAAGAATTAAGATCAACTCATGCAACGTTTTGATTCGATATAAGGTATCAAATTGATCCAAATATTTGAATCATTTTCAAAAAATGATCCAGAATATGGGATCATTTTTTGATACCTGAATTGGTATCAAAGTATAACTGTCATGGCTGGCTTGCTCTTATTGACAAGTTTATTAATTAATTTATTCACTGCACTGAATATTAAGATATTAAAAATACTTTTATTATGAATTTTAAGAAAGAGAGAAGCGAAAACTTATAAATTGCGAGCAATTAAATAAGAAAAAATTTATTTCGAAATAAAATGAAATACACTAACCTTTATTTATATTTATCACATAAGATTTAAGTTAAGTTCACAATCACAACACTTGAAAATTTTTAATTATTTTTATGGTTCAAATAATTGAAGAGCTCCACGGAATAACGATCTATGGCACAATTGAAAAGTTTGGTTATGAGCTTTCAAAAAACGTAAATTTTCATAAAATTGGTAATAAGTATATATGTAAACTGTTATTTATTACACGCTTAGTAACTATTACTAATTCTATTAGTAATAATAATTAGCTTACAGTTGTTATCAATTTAATGAAAATTTATGTTTTTTGAAAGCCCATAACCAAACTTTTCAATTGTGCTATATATCGTTATTCCGTGGAGCTCTTCAATTATCAATAATTTATTTATTATAAATGAACAAAATTTAAGCAATACACTCTTGATAAATATTTCTAATGCGTTGTCAATTAATGCAATTAATAATTTCCTATTACACAATATCATAATCGACATATATGACATTTGTAAACAAACAGAGTTGGGAAACAAGAGCCCAAAATTTATTTGTCCAAAGCGAATTTCAATCCTACCCAACTCTGCTTTGGACGAACTTTGGTAGGATTGAAATTCGCTTTGGACAAATATATTTTGGGCTCTTGTTTCCCAACCCTGTTTGTTTACAAATGTCATATATGTCGATTATGATATTGTGTAATAGGAAATTATTAATTGCATTAATTGACAACGCATTAGAAATATTTATCAAGCGTGTATTGCTTAAGAGCATTTGAACCTTCGTGACGTCACAAATCATGGCGCATGACACGAAAACTTCTCAGGTATGTGAAAAGCACAATTTTGAATATTTTTTAAAAAAACCTTTTGGAAAATGTTCAGAATAACATAGACTCTGTCTGTTATGTGCGGAAAATTCAAAATTTTGCGTTTAAAACGTTTTTTAAACAATGTTAAGGTCACAAATCATGGCGCATATGACACGCAAACTTCTCAGGTATGTGAAAAACACAATTTTGAATATTTTTTAAAAAAACCTTTTGGAAAATGTTCAGAGAAACATAGACTATGTCTGTTATGTGCGAAAAATTCAAAATTTTGCGTATAAAAAGTTTTTTATACAATGTTTAAGTTGGTTGTCACAAGTAAGGAAAAATACACGAATTGCTTATATGTAGGCATTGTTTAAAAAACGTTTTAAACGCAAAATTTTGAATTTTTCGCACATAACAGACAGAGTCTGTGTTATTCTGAATATTTTCCAAAAGGTTTTTTTAAAAAATATTCAAAATTGTGTTTTTCACATACCTGAGAAGTTTGCGTGTCATGCGCCATGATTTGTGACCTTAACATTGTATAAAAAACGTTTTAAACGCAAAATTTTGAATTTTCCGCACATAACAGACAGAGTCTATGTTATTCTGAACATTTTCCAAAAGGTTTTTTTAAAAAATATTCAAAATTGTGCTTTTCACATACCTGAGAAGTTTTCGTGTCATGCGCCATGATTTGTGACGTCACGAAGGTTCAAATGCTCTTAAATTTTGTTCATTTATAATAAATAAATTATTGATAATTATTTGAACCATAAAAATAATTAAAAATTTTCAAGTGTTGTGATTGTGAACTTAACTTAAATCTTATGTGATAAATATAAATAAAGGTTAGTGTATTTCATTTTATTTCGAAATAAATTTTTTCTTATTTAATTGCTTGCAATTTATAAGTTTTCGCTTCTCTCTTTCTTAAAATTCATAATAAAAGTATTTTTACCCTACTGAAAAAACCTATGTAGGTCACCACATGGGATCCTATATGGTGACCCATGTAGTGACCCACGTAGGATCTCATATAGGTCTACACATGGGTCGTTACACATGGGTCTACCTATGTGTTGACCTTCATGGGTCACCACATAGGTGACCCATGAAATATTTAATAGTTTATTATTTTACATATGTAGATTAACGCATGATTAAATCTTCTAAAATTTTAGCATGTTGAAGAATACTATCAATCCCAAATAGTACCAAATTTTGAAGTAATGTCTCTTAGTGCCAAAATTTGATTTTAATATTACATGCTATTTATTTGGACTGGTGGAAGATAACAAGTATACACGGAAAAACTTTGTGCAAGAATTATTCCTAAATTTGTTCAGGAACGGAGGATATGAGAATAATTTAAGAAATCTTATTTATATTTTCTTTGAAAAATTCTAAGCAGTATTTCTATAAGAATTGTAGAGAAATTCAAAACAACTTCCTAAACTCACTACAGAAAGTCTTAAACTTGTTTTAGAATAAATTCTTACGTTTGCGAGAAAAAAAATTTACTCTGGGAGTACTCGATCCCACGTCCTCGAGAGTCCAAAAACTCCGCTTTACATCACTCAGCTACCTTAGCAGCTTACGGTATTATGCATTGGAAACATATTTGACGCAACCAATCCCTGCCTAGTGCTTGGTTACTGTACTGTGTCTTCTAAAACAGTTCAAGAAACTTTCAACGCCCAGTGACTGAGATATTCCGATCGCGGCATTAACAAGAAGTCTTCCAATGTCATAATAAAAATACAAGTATTTTCTTCAATGATTTTTGTATTTTTCTGTAAATTTTGCAGAATTTTTCTCATATCCTCCATTCCGAAGCAAATTCAGGAATGATTCTTAAACAAAGTTTTTCCGTGTAGATTTTTTAAATTCGCAATTAAAAATTTGAACAATACAATAATTTCTTTATGAGAAGATAGTGTAAATAAATACTAATGCGATTAAGTAATTTTCTCCATTTAATAATATATGATAAAAACTAATTTTATGAGATTATCAAAAAATGACTTTAACACTTTGATATGCGCGGTCTTATTATGCGCGGACAGTTATTACTCAACAAAATGCACTAGTCGATTCAAATGACTTGAAATTTTTAAACACTCATTTCTGAACATCTTTCTGCCTACACACAAACACTTTTCACAAATTGTGCCCACAAACTATTGAGACGCATCATCTAAATTATCTTAATTTAAAAGATGTTTTTAATTCAGATATAATATGATTTACTATATGACATACTATTGTATGTCTAATCAATGGTTTATGGGTAAATTTTGTGTGAAGCGTCTGTGAACAAAAAAAACTTGTGCAAAAATGATTGTTTACAAATTTCATAATATTATTTACGTATGTTTTAATGCTCTGAACACCTTTTTCAAAAGAGAAACATTTTATTTCAAAGTATAAAAACATTATCACATGCACAACTTTGAATTACATACAACAAATTAAGAATTTTTTTACAATTATAAATTGTATTTTTATTTAATTATGTCAAAGGAATATTAACATTTGAATAAATATTCTAAATAATAAAGAAATAAACGTATATCAAAATATCACAATTTTTATATATTTTTTACATGATACTAAATACTTTCATATAATCCAACTGTAGAATATATTATTATGATTTTATAAAACTTATAGAATGATGAAAAAAGTCGGAAAAAGACGAAACGCTTAAATATTCGTTTCAAAATTTTTTGAATTCATAAGATTTGTTATGTAAAATAAGACTACCGTTTCCATTTCCAGTGATTACAATTGCAAGTAAGATAATTATAAAGATTTAAAAATATATTATTGTATATTCAATATCACTAATTGAAATTTTTTATTTAACTTTTGTTTACCATACAATTCCACAATACGCGATATTTAATTGATAAATTGATTCATTAAAAACTATGTAAGTTAAATGTGACGTATCCAAATTGTAAAGCTTTCATTGAAAAATGTATCGGAAAAATAGTTTTATGAAATGTAAGATTTGTAAAAATAATGAATATTACAATTTTGTGAATAGTGAAAGACGATTTGAGAAAAGTGTGATGCTTGATATCTGTGATGATTAAATGAACCGATTTGTAAAGAAGTTACGTGCAAAAAATGAACATAATCTCTCAATTTTAATTTTTAATACTGATAGTGCACCATTATTTGAAAGTTTCACCTACTCTATTTGGTCAACTTTTGTAATATGAAACCAATTACTAATAATTATTTGTACAAAAGAGAATGCAATCAGTGCTTACAATCATGAAAATAGGTTCAAAATAAAATAATATATGTGAAAAATATTTTAAGGAATATTAAATATTCCCTAAAACCAGTACCAGAGAGTAGAAATAATAAAAAAACTATAAAACATATGGGGTTGACGTGCAAGAAAAAATTCTTTTCTTGCTGTGAACAAAAGCTTCTCAATTAATAAATTTAATTAACATGGAACAGCAGAATAGCTAAACAGTTTGCAACAATGTTGTTTGTAAGTAAAAGAAAATCCGGATTGTTTTTCAAAGAATTGGTTGCAGAGAATAATAATGATTTATATATAATATTAAAGCACCGAATCAAATATTTCGGGTTTTTGTTGAAAGAGAAATTGGAAAGCAAGAGAATGAGAGAACTGGACATTATTCTTTAGCGTGCCCATTCTTCACAAGTAATAACAAAAGATATTGTATTACATTGGCCTTTATTCATTGAAGCAGTTTACTTTTTGATGTAATAGGAGATAGTAAATTTGGAGATGAATCTAGCCGACCAGTTGTTACATCAATTTGTTTCAGAAGAGGATGTAATTTATACAAAAACAGTTATAACTTCATTAACCTAATATATAATTGGGGACCCCTTTCGACTCTCAATACATATGAGAGTGTGTAATGAATGTGGTAATGGAAAATTATTGAAAGTTATTTATGCTCCTAAAAGGGTACATCATCAATTTACACGTATTGCAAGAACCAGGTAATCATACCCCCTAAAATGTTTAGTCAAAAAAATGGTGCAACTATGGGTAATGATGTCTCTTTAATTAAATTATAGTCGGTCTTCGGTGCAAGTTCTCCCGTAGATTTTTTAGATTAAAATATTATATCTCTCTGAGCGAGCTGTTATGTATAAAAAAAGTTGTTAGGCAAAATTGTTTGTTATATTCATCAGATAAAAATAAACCAATAACTGTTTTTGCACAATTGTATGATGGAGATTATGTAAAGATGATTACGTTTATAGTAGAACCATGAAATGGCACAGAAAAAGTAAACCTGTAAAAAAATTTGTCTTTCTACATTTTATTAAAACCCTATTGCTTTTCTGTCCTTAAATTTACATATTTTAATAGAAAAAATATTGAGTGTATAATGGATATAAAAATAGAAAAATTTTTTTTGACATAAGTAGAAAATTTGGTTTAATGTAAAAAAAGAAGGGTGAAAATTATTTCTCTTAATGCCATTGCATTAGAAAGTACTCCAGAAATACTTTGCAATTCACTGTGCAAAGATTAAAATCTGTAAAGTTTTATGACAGACATACGAATTTGACAATGTCAATTATTAAATATTTGAAATTTCGACTTTATCATTTAAAGAGAAAATACTTAATATGCAAAAATATCAGTCATTTAAATTCAATAACTTTCAAAAACAATGTTTCGTAATAAACATGTTTTTTTTATCTTAGTAGCTATAGAGATTAGGAACTGCACAAACATAATTTTTTTTGCGGATACCTAAATGAACACAAACTTTCTCCAAATTGACAGTTGGCATTGCTATTTCATCGCTTGATACTGCTAACACTTTCTGCAGAGCTTTATAGTTATTTGTGAAAGCAGATTGAGTACTCAAAAATTGACATATTATAAATTCTTGTTTTGAAATTGGATCTACAATAAATTCTACAATCTTAATATATTTTTCATCGACTAATTTGCCAATCGTGTTATCAGAACGTTCATTTTTTTTAATAGACGATAAATACAAACATCCATCTTTTACTAACTTTTTATAACAGCGTGCTCGCTCTGACAAATTTAATTTTTCTCTCCACATCGAATTAACATTTGAAGATTTCCCGAAGTATCGTAAACTATTTACTTTTATTGTATTTTTTATCATAGATGTACCTAATTGGGTACATAATGATTGAACATCTACTTGTGCTCGTGGATAAATTAATTTCAGCAGCAAATTGTAGCTGGAATTCAAATTAATGCTACGACATATTTGGTGATGAACACCTTTTGCAGCATGAACTGATTTGAGCAATTGACAATTCCCTGATTCAAATGCAAATGCAGAATGTGCGAATAAAGGCCCCCAATCTAAAACACTTTTAGACAAATGCAATAAGAGATGAACATTGAAAGTCATTGCAAATTGCGAATACAACTCTTCTGTACCTACGACAAATTCATGAAGTAGGATGTCAGCATGATTAAGTTCATCAATTGTAATTTTTGATTGCAGGAGTATATACAAAGCTTCAACCAACTTAACCCAATGTAGTACGTATTTTTGATCAAAAAAAAGTTTAAGTATAGGTGTACTGTAATACAGAACCCAATTCTCCCACTCGCGTGCTTTCCAGAATGCTTTATCTTTTAAGGATCTTGTGAGACGACCAACTTGATGAGGGGCTTTTATAGACTTCAAAATTCCATTAATATCATCAACTGTTTTTTCATTAACAAAACTTGATGACACCTTATTTGTTCCAAACCATAGATTAGCAAACTGTTTTCCTATACCAGAAATAATGTGCATATAGTCGGGAACAAAACCGTCAATAATGTTAAAGCTATTTAAATTTATCAGTCGAGATACGTTTTTGAAACCAAAACATGGCTTTTCCTCGCTACCTTCGATCATATGTTTTTTCGAATCCTTCTCATTACGATTTGCTGCAGTAGTATCAAACAAAGGATATTTGTGACTTCCGCTATTCGGTTTTGACTCCTTTGCCACCCATTTACCAGGATGAAGACACCAATTGCACCCATAATAGCCATTAAATTGCATAAGCCCCTGCAATGGAGCCCTTGCAATAGAATCTACGCAGCAAATTAAACAGAAAATTTTAGTTAAATATCCCTCAGTATTTATGTTACATTTTAAACCTTCGGTGGATAATTTGTTCATATCTTCTACGAAAGGTTTTAAAAAAATATTCATGTTTGGCTTGCTTCTGCCGAACCATAAACCGACAACAATTAATTCGGATGTCCTGACTGAAAATGGTAATTCATTTAGCATAATGTATATTGGCCAGATAGAATACGCGGAACTCTCGAAAAGAGGTGCTCCATCTGTATTAAAAGTAACCGAGACAAAGCGATTTTTGTCAGCAGGATCTAAACTTTTTTTAAAACGTCGATAATTTTTACCATCATAAATATCTCTCATAAATTCATCTGTTTGTTGGACATTCATCACATCATTATAATATTCACTGTTAGCTTCTAACAATTCTTTTATCCGCGATGTCGGGTCTAAAGTTACAAAAAAATTTTTATACTCAGGATCTTTAACATTGACATTAATATTGCATAAACTACAATGTTTTTGTAAATCTTTACTTTTAAAAATTCCTATATCAATCCCACATTCTGGGCATAATGCATGGAAAGTAACGGTATTTAATGGATTGAATAACTTATCAATTAAATATCGTGAATCTGGAAGAATGGGTCTCGCGAAAATACAATTAATAAGCATGAAAAGGTTACAAACAGCAGATAAGCCGAGGGAGTGAATCAGAGCATATTTTACAAGTAGCAGCAACAATTCACCGATGCTTACTTTAACGTCGACATCTATTCGTTGAAAAATATCTTCCTTCTCTAAAAATTTATGTAATTTTTCGAAGCCTCCATCATCTGAATTTTCATTTTCCTCTTCTTCACCCTCCTCTGGATCACTTTCATCCAAAAACTCAAATTCTATGTTTCCCAACTGAAATTCAATAGTTAATAAATTTTAACAGTCCTAATGTAGTCTACCATAAGATGGTATTTTAATAGAATAATTGATCAAATGTGACGTGTCGCGAAGAAAGGAACATAAGAGTCCCTTGACTTTGATGTTATTTTTGTGTCAGTTTTTCATTCATCAATTGGTTTTTCTTAATTTTGTAACAATACAATACGTTTTTATTAAATATTTTGGATGTAATTAAGACTTTAAAAGTATTTGTGTAAATTAAAAATTGATCCCCTTTGTACATTTTTATTTCAAAAATTACAAACATAACCCATGATTTTTGGACTCTTAGGCTTCTTTCTTCGCCACGCGTCACAAATAAATCGCTGATTGAGGAATTCCAAGTCAGCTAAGGAAGAAAATATAAAGAAATTAAATGCAGCATTCAAAATATTCCTGTATTCAAAAAATGAAAATTTTGAAAATTAATAATTTAAAAATTTGCCCCCCTCCCGCAAAAAAAGAAAAAATACGTATCTCTTTATTCAGTACAGGAAAAAAAATATATATTTGGCTGATTTCAAAAGTCAACTAAACTTTCACTTGAAATTGCCCATATGCATATTGTTACCAGTATATAATAAAAGGCTGTATATATATATTTACATACCGATATATATTAGGGTGGCCCTTAAAAATGACATTTTGTAATTTTAACCATTTCCACCCCTAATTTTGTCACAAATCGAAAAAAAATAGATGCGTATTTTTTTATTTTTTTTTTAATTGATATTTAGTGGTGAAAAAAAAATTGGTGGTGACTTAAGCCCAATCCTGTTTCGCGACAAAACAGTTTTGAGTGGTTGCGGTGAATTATTTTTTTTTACGGCCAATTCTTTTCACTTGAATTGTTTGAATTAATGTATATTGACCGGATTTGGCATTATAAACGAGAAAAAAGTTTGTTTTAAAGAGTAAAAATGCTGATTACGTGTAGGAAATACGGAATTTTATTAAAAAGTGAAAATATTAAATCTGACAGGCACGATAGATTTACCATTGGGTTGAGCATGCTATTAATTGCGCCGATACTGACAGAAAGTTACTTAAATGAGTAGATAATTCAAATAATAAATTAAATTCAAAAGAATATAATTAATTTAAATTAGCTAAATAAAATTTATATTAATAGATTAATATAATAGATTAATAAAAGCAAATTTAAATTAATTATATTCTTTTGAATTTAATTTATTATTTGAATTTTCCACTCTTTTTAGTAACTTTCTGTCGGTATCGGCGCAATTATTGATAGCATGCTCAATCGAATGATAAATCTATCGTGCCTGTCAGATTTAATATTTTCACTTTTTAATAAAATTCCGTATTTCCTACGCGTAATCAGCATTTTTACACTTTAAAACAATCTTTTTTCTCGTTTATAATGCCAAATCGGGTCAATATACATTAATTCAAACATTTCAAGTGAAAAGAATTGTCTGTAAAAAAAAATAATTCACCGCAACCATTCAATATTGTTTTGTCGCGAAACAGGGTTGGGCTTAAGTCACCACCAATTCTTTTCGCTTACGGCCAATTCTTTTTTTTTACTGGGTATAGAAGCACAGGATAAAACTTTATTTAGTTGAAAATAAGCGTAATTATTATAAAATAAAAGGTAGTCTAAAGCGACAGTTTTCTAAAGAAACAAAAAGTTGTACTGTTTGAGTATATCAGACGCACGGACGTTAACAACCACACTGTAAAAAGTCTAAAAAATTTTTCCCAGCGACGGTAATTTTCATTTAAAATCTGCAGTAATACTACTACTTTTAATTTAGGGAAAATACGTGCAAAAAATGGAAAAATACCAAATACTGTAATTTTCCTATTTTTAATATGGAGATTTTCCGCTCGACGGTAATTTTGCCTCGTTTAAAGCGGGTAATAATGATACCCACATTCAAAGAGGCGAAATTACTGTCGACAGTGAAACTCCAGCGGATGGGAAAATTCCCCCTAGCGAACGTAACCTTACCATATTTATAATGGCGATTTTTCAAAAAAATTTTACCGACGAAAGGAATATTCCTATTTTAAATGTGGGACTTTTGTTTTGTCATATAGAAACACCACTTTTATACTAGGTAATAATAGTTCCCTCATTGAATGCGGTAAAATTACCTAAAGATTTTTTACAGTGCAGGTCGGAGGTGAAAGTTCTGCGATTGGACGGTCACTGTTAGAAAAAAGGGAAATTTCTTTCTCAATTTTCTACCCTTTCCTAACAGTGATTGTCCAATAACTGAACTTTCGCCTCCCACCTGGTGCGGCCGTCTCATTTGCTGTGCTTTGCCTTTTCTCAATTAAATTCTATTATCTTTCTTTTAAAAATTTTCCGTCAATTTTCTGTCAATTATAATTTTCATTTCTTTTGTGCTTGTTTATTTCCTACTTATTTTGTCAAATATCTCACTTTGATCATTGATTTATTTTTACTTCCTATTTTAATAAATATATTTTAACCCTTAAAAATTACTATTTAAAAATGTATCTAATTTACATAAAAAATTTTCCTTCAAAATTTACATTTTAAAAAAGTATTTTATAATCTACACTTTCTTTTAATTATTAAAAAAATTATTTAAACTAATATGCATAATTACAACATTAAATTTGTAGGTACAATTTTAGATAATGTCAAGCAGATAAAAGATTATGCAATATTTATTTTAAAAAATTAGTTTTTTATTTTTCGACAGTTTTTTGATTTTTAAAAAGCTAGCGCCTGAAATTCAACAATCGCAGCTCCATCTATTTCTTTGCTTGTGACTTATCGCAATTCGATTTTGCTATAATAGCAATTCGATTATTTCGATATTCGATCTTGCCCATGCCTCCATGCTTTTTTTCTTGAAGGAAAATTGTCACTTTAGTCTACCTTTTATTTTATAATAATTACGAATATTTTCAACCAAATAAAGTCTCATCCTGTACTCCTATACTTTAATTTACCGTTTTCATAAAGAAAATGTTAAATTTTTATTTCCTATTCAAGAAAAGGCTGTTGCAAAATGTGTATGGTTTGTTTACATTTTGTCTTTGTATACATTTTACAACTTGGACAAGACCTTAAGTTCAAATAATTTGAAGCAAACATATCTTCGATGCAAAAAGTTAAGCCAAGTAAAAATTATCTTAGTTCTCGAAGCAATTTTTCCGTTTTAACGAATGTAAATAAGTCACTTTAGTGTTTTATAATTTGAGACACAAAATTTAGACGGTGAAAGTGTCTACGTTCAAGTCATTTTAACTAATTTAAGACGTTTTGTCGGATTCGTGTAACTTCGGACAAACTTCGGAAATATTCATCCTGTCTATAGTCATCTTTGTCTCAAATACTCTTCTCTTTGTCTAACATAACCAATTTGTTTCACGTGGTTAATTAATTTATTGTTTATAGTTGCACAAACAAAAATCAGATTTAAAAAGAAAGAAACTTCCAAAGTGAGAATTGTTAGATTATGTATCAAGTAGGAAATTCAGTCTGCAATGAAGACACTTCTAGTGTCTCAAAAAAAGTCACTTTTAATGTCTTCCTAGAAGACATCCCAAAGCGTCTTAAAAATGAGGACAAAGTGTCTCAAATGAAGACACCTGTTTTTGCAGTGGAATCTTGATCCAAATATTAAGAACTTTGTCCGGGAACCAAATTATGTACTTTTTGTACGGTGTCATTCATGTAAATCAAATTCATTTTTTAGCACATTGAGTCTTTGTTAAATTTTGATTATGAAAATTGTGAATAATTATCAGCGAGTAGGGGATACCGGAGCTGAACGTTAAGTTTACGTCGTATAGATATCTCATGTTTATATTTGAAATTAAAGAGTGTAATTTTCACATAATTTTGGTTTGTGTTAAAAAAACAAGAATTGTGACTATTAGATTTGATTCGTACCTCTGCAGTTATATTATCAATGTTTCTCCGATTTGACTCCTGCTCCTCAAGATCATCTTCTTCTAATGTATGATTTTCAACAATGGATTTTAAATGATTTTTAAATTCATTAGTCCAAGTTGGGACAAATTCATCGCTTTGATATTCTTCAGCCTACAGAAAATACAGAATAATTTTTAAATTGTTTTCTATGAACTTAAGAACTTTACTAGAGTGACGAGTACAATGACCGACACCCACAATTAAAAATCGCAATTAATATAGAACAAAACATTTTTAATATATATTTAAAAATATTAATATTATAAAATACAATCATTGAAAGCTATTAAAATAGTAGTAATATCAAATTTGTTTATATTTCGGATAAAATTTTACTGTCTGTGAAGATAACCTCAAAAACTCATATTTTAAGGTTATCCTCACACAAAGTAAATTGTTGTGCAATATATATAACTCCATAAAATAGATTTATTCATTAAATTTGTTAAGCAATTTCTCTAAACTCTTCCAGTTTTTACTTTCTGACATTGTCTATATATACACAAAACCACATACTTTTCTTTCATTTCTTTCATACTTTTTTTCCAAGATCTATCTGAATTTACATAATAGTTTATGTTAAATTGCAAATTTATTTCACTTTTGTAAGAAACAACTATGTGATGAAAATTTCTGAAAAAAATCTTATGTTTCTAAAATGAGCTAAAGAACAAACTACGAGAATTTAATAAGTTTCTCTCATTCTCTTATATTGCTAGTGACAATCCTTAATATACGAACAATGTATTGTTTTATATTATATTTTTTGTAATTTTTAATTGAGGGCGTCGTTCACTAAGTGGTGTCGGTAATGTTATTTACCTGGTTATCAATTTCAGCAATGTTGTACTCTACTTCCATGTTTTGACAGTAAACTGATGTTCTGCTGCATTCTCCTGTATGTTCATTCACAGTCGGATGTTCAATTTCATGATCATCATTATCAGCATCAGATAAACTTTGCCATTCTGGAGACTCCTTTTTTAAACATTTTTAAAAATTGTATAGGGTTTACATAGACTGGTGATAAATTCATGCCCAAATAACACAACTTTTTACACGTAATTTGACACGATATAGGGCACGGTAAGCTAACCAATATCACACCACAATATTCAGGCGAGATTATAACATTTTCACTGACGACAATTTTGCATAATAACTTTATTTAAGGCAATATTACCTTTAAAATATTGAGAAAACATTACGCGACAAATCAAGGCAATACTGCCGTCCTGATGAATAATTCGCTATTACTGTGAAAAATGAGTTTTCCATACTACTGGATTCTTTACGAAAAAAGCAATCTAGCTATAGTAATATTATTCATAAATAATAATTAATGTAAGAGATAATTAGTCTTTAATTACTCAACTTTCGTGAAATCATTTTAAAAAGACCAGTACTTTGTACAAAATGTACAAAATGTTCCATAATAAGTGCAGGCAGTATTGTCTAGTACTGCCAAGAAATCTGGTTTGACTTTGATTAAAATCCGAATACCGATGGGTCGTATTGCAAGTATCGACTCTTGCGATAAGGATTGTAATCGAATATAGACCAATTTTTCTTGTTGGAAAAGTCGGTAAGTACTTTCATTCTTTTAAATTAGGCTGCGACCCGGGTGAAAATACCAGCCCGGTTTACCGCCCGAAAATTCGCCTGGAAATCCGGGGGGCTATTTGAAACTTTTCGCCCGGATATCCACGTGGAATTTCGTCATCTGTTTATCCTTAAGAGATATTCAAAAATGGACATCAAATTTGAATTTCACGATTCTGCACGATTTTAAAAGAGGCTATCTAACATATTTGAGATCTATAAGGAATTTCCGGAAATCCACCAGGAAATACGCCTGGATATCCGTTTGGACATTCGCTCGGTATTTCGTCTGGAAATCCATCCAGATTGTATTCCGCTCGGATTTCCAGGCGGAAAGTTTCAAAAAGACCCCCGGATTTCCAGGTGGATTTTCCGAGCGGATATTTTCACCCGGGAAGTACCGACCCTATAACAGTAATGTCACTTAACCGTAAAAGTACAGAGCATAGAAAAATTAGTTAATACCAAATGTAATTATTTTAATGTCTTGAATGAAAAGCTGCTTTTATGAGAAATGCGTTTCTTTAAATATCTTGAAATCACTCTTTCCGACTTTCTTTATCAGGACGGCAGAATATTGTTAGGAAATATTCATGCAACATTCGATTGAATCCTGTTATCCTTAAAGTTACCGCCATTGTAATATTACCGTAATATTGCTTTTTTAATATTGCAACTCCTACCATACCATAATATATCAAGTTCTGTGCAAGAAGTAGTGCTATTTGGGTGGTATGAAAAATAAAAACATAATTAAATCGTCTGGTTAGCGCAACAACACGCTTATTCCAAACAAGAGGCAAGAAGGTGCCAACTCAGAAACTAACCTTTTTGGCAAATTTTAAATTGTATTTGGAATTTAAAATTCAAGTAATAATTACCTTAATTTTGTTTCCCTGCAAATACCTTTTCCATATTAATGTTCTTTTAATAAGAGGAAAGTAAATTATTTGAAATATTGATACTGTTGACAAAATAAAATTTGACAGAAAGGATTAGTTTCTGAGATGGCACCTTCTTGCCTCTTGTTTTGAATAGGCGCGTCTGTTGTGCTAACCCAACGAAATGATATTTGACCTAAATATGTTGCTTGTATCAAATATTTTAATTTGATAAAAAAAAACTTTTTGTTTTATATTTCCATTTGTTCATAATACAGTAAATTAAATTACAATATTAATTTATGGTGATAATAATATTAAATAATTAATACATTTTTCAATATTATTAACATTATTTAACATTGCGAATCTATTGACCTATATATTGTACATATTTTATTTTAATTTATAATATTATCCTATATTTTTAATTAAATGAAAATTTAAAAATTTAATATATTTTATTTCTTTTGTTTAAAATTTTCTTCTTAGTACCAAGTTATATTATCTGTTTGTATTTATATTATTTTTATAATTATTCATATTTTTTAATAATTTACTTGATTTGTAATTTTATTTGCATGAAAACCATCTCCTATGAGGAAGCACAATGTTCGCGAAATGAACATAAATGTCTTTTACAAAGACGGACCCTCTTCTTGTTTACTATACCTTGCCAGTAGATGGACGATAAATTTTTTTCAATTTTTTTGAGCGTAGAATGTTTCTCTGTTCGGATGCAGAAGAATTGGGAGAACTTTCCCAAGAGGAAGAATGCTGTAAAATGTATATTATTTTAGATTAATATTAATATTGGAGATGTGTAAAAAGCTCAAATATTCAAGCCCAATCGAGCCGTAATGTGTAATATTATAAACTGACAATTGAGTAAAAAATTTTCAAATTTAAAGTACTTGAAGTTATTTAAATTTTTGAATTAGGGAACTCTAAGGAATTTGAATTTTCAAATGAGTAATATAGGGTAAAGTGGGGCATAAATAATCACTTAAGGGATTTTTAGTATAAAAAATTTATTTAAAGAGATATCAAAAAATGCTTAGAACCGTTTGAAAACTTTACTTTTTAGCTACAACTTAACTGTGTGTTTTTTTGTAACTCGATTCCGTTTCGAGCTACAGAAATTTGAAAAAACCTTCTTTTGCAATGCCGAAAATAAAGATGAGGCGTTACACGGAAAAAAATTATATTTTAAAATGTAATAAATAAATTATTAAACCTGGGCTGTTCGATGTCTATAATAAAATATTCATAGTGGTAGAAGCACATTGTCACAGCGAAAAGAATTGAATATTTTAGGTTATTATTACATTCTTTTCGTTGTGTCACTTTACTAGTGACTATTCATATTTTGGAGCAAAGATAGAGTAGCCCAAGTTTAACAATCTGCTTGTTGAATTTTTAACCCTAAAAGGAGTATATGAATTTACTTACCCTCTAAGAAATGAATAGGGTGTCTAAACACCCCAAATTTGAATTTTGGTTCAAAAAGTTTCTATTTCACGTAAAGTCAATTATATATATACCATATATATAGTAAATTTTATTGGATTTTGTAACAATGAAAACAATAGTTGCATTTATTTTTTAAAAAATTTAAAAAATATTGGAAAAAACTTTTAAAACAAAAAAAAATGCAAAATTAAATTTAAAAAAGAAACACGAAGTTGAAGTCCACAACGTTTATAATCAACGAATTAAAAAAATTAATATTTTTTCATGTAAAAATAGTAACATTTTTTATCAAAACATTTTTCTTAATTTGAAATTGTTGACAAAAAAAAGGTTGTAAAATTTTTTTCAGATTAAAATTTTTCAAATATTGTAATAAAAAAATATTTTCCTGTTTAAATCGTTGATCAAAAACATTGTGGACTTCAACTTCGTAAAGAAACGTAGTTTCTCAAAAGTTTTACTAATGTAAAAAATATCTTGAATTTTATAAGGTCAATAGAAACACTTTTAGGAAAAGAAATAAGTTTTTACATTTCTTAAAACAACATTGTCTTAAAAAATCCAATAAATATCATTATCATCATCACAATTACATCAATTACATCAAATGTATTAAAAACTATTACAAACAGTAATAAAATATATTATTGTATGATAAAATATATCAACAAATAAAGAAACTTGAAATATTAAAATTTCTTTCCTTTTATGCTTAAAACGCAATTGACGCAGGCCAAGTTTTATTAAATGAGTCAAAACAAGTAAGCGAATATATCAGTATGACATTTGAGTACTTTACTCCTATAATAGTTGTCACAAGAATCTCTAATTTGATGTATAATTTTCATTTTACATGACAAGTATACAGTGTGAAATTGACTTTAATCGGATTCACAGTAACGTCCCACCCAACACAAATTAATAACAATAAAAATTCAATATTTACTACAAAGTTTTCAAAAAACACTTCTTTTTCACACTTTAATATATATTTAATAAACCCTTCAAACAGAATATTCATTGTTTCATTTTCTCAAAACAAATTATCAAAGATAGGTCTCTTTTTCTGCCTGTAGAGTGGTGTTACCCCTTAAGTCTTATATCATAACTCTTGGGTCTTAATTATTAAGGCACAAGTTCAAGAACTATTAAAGGACACTCGAGTTTTAAAAAATTGATATCTTTTAAAGTGGAATAAACTTGTTTATAAAAGTTTTGAAAAGTTTTAATGTTTTACTGTTGAAGCAAAATTATTTTGAGTTTATTATTCTTCAATATGTTATATATGTTATAGAAAAAAATTTAATTTAATTTCCAAGTTAAAATTCTCTTTCTATTACAAAAAAATTCGAAATTGGAATTCTTAGGTAATTATATTCAATAAATTATTTACTTGTTTTTAAGTATAAACGAGTATTAAAAAAGTGAAAAATTTCATTTATTTTCTATTATTTTCAGAGAGTGTGAAAATCATAATTTATTAATATTAGATATACATAGAAATATTGTCAAAAAATTATATTTTAATTATTTCAGAAAATTTTTTCAAGTCTGAATCATGACAATTGTTCTGATGCAAATCTTCAAGAAAATCAACAGTTTATTAAAGATCTGCATTAAGGGATTTGATATCAAACAATTTTTTTATAATCTTTTTTATATCCTACTTCATCATATATGAATTGATCAATTTTTTTATAATGTGAGAAAGGGATTAAAAAGTATAATGTTTACTGTTAATTTCAAAACCTAATATGGTACTAAAATAAGTCGAAAATTTCTTATCTTTGTTATAATAATAATTATCACTTCTGAATACTAAATGTTTCTTAAAAGAAGAATAGTTGTGAGAAAAATATATTGGGCACACTAAAACAAGTTTATATGAGTAATTAGACTGTTTTATCTAATTAGAATACTTTAGTAAAGAAACTTTTAAAAACACTCTCATTTATTAATCCTTTGAAAGAATTCCAGTTTCTCTCGACAGAAAATATAGTAACTTATTGACAATTATATTGTATTAATTTATCTTACCATATCAACCTCATCAGCGTTTTCAAAATTTTCAATGTCAGATGAACTGTTTGACGGTTCGTCCTGCAAAATATCTTCTTATTATTTTTTTTGATACAGCAATTGAAATTTGTTTTATTAACAAAAAGAATTGTAAGTTATATTTATAGCAAAAAATAGCATTTTGTTTCTTAAAATTGGATACAAAGTGCAATAATGGTTATGTTACTTTAATGAAAATTCGAGCTGTGTAAATTTCTAAAATTCGGTCCTTTCCATAAGAATTAACATGGGCACGGTTCGATTTGAATTTCAAGCCCAGGCAAAATTTAAATTTCCGAACACCTCTAACGAAAATACAAAAAATATTGAAAAACAATTATTTGAAAATAAGTGTACGTCCGCGTGAAAAGGGATCACTTTGTCGATTTTATTTTAGAAAATAATCGCAATTTTCTAAAATTGGTTCAGATTTATTATTTTTTTTATTATTGGAAACGAAACTAGAAACTGTCACACATTAAATTATGCCCTTACGATGACTTTATCGTAATTAAAATAACTAATAATTTTATTTTTAATTTTTAACTAACATGGAAACAAATGGTAGTTTGAACTTTAAACTCGTTTTTTTCTAAATTAGGTCTTTGGCACTTCTTACTTTGAACCTCCAGAACTTTGCGATTTTTTCACTTTATAGGGGTCTAAGATCGCTCAAAATGTTCGAAATTTAATCAAGAATATACTCATGTAGATAAGTTCAATAGTGCCGAAGTGGTCCCTTTTCTTAATAAAATCAATGTTTAATATATTAGTTTTGTAAACAAAACCTGTTTTTACTTTCAGGTTATGTTTAGAATGTTCACAATAAAAATATAATATTAAACATTTTCACGAGAATAATTGAGCCATACTTATAAATAGAGTTAAATCTTTTCTAAAATATGCTAAGAATGTGGTGATTGAGGTTATGTCTATAATGTTCGCAATAAACATATAACTACATTAAACATTTTCACGAGAATAATTGAATTTTTGTCCATATTCATAAATAGAGCTAAATCTTTTTAAAAATATGTTGAGAATTAAAAAATTAATTGCATATTTTCTTATCTCCTCATGTTCACTGGAAAAAAATGGCTTGTACAATCATTGAATGGTTGTGACGTACGGACAAAATATAGAATTTCCTATTAACTACACTGAGAAAAATGTCTTGGAAATGACAAATCGATTTTATGCGCACAAGCATTAATTTTATTTATATATTATTAACTCTTAAATCACATTATATACGTTAATACATACCATTTCAAAAATGATGGCGAGTCACTAATTACACAAACACATGAAAGACACAAAAAATCCACCTGACAACACTTTCGTCTTATTAATTTCTTGGCACTGGCAGGCACTCACAATGTATAGCAGAAGCAAAGGTATATTGGCAGAAGCAAGTGACTTTAGAAAAGGTTGTGTTTATTTCCATGAATTTCTAGAAAACTGGATTGGCGTCCAATCTTTACGCGCGTGTCGGAATTCGTGAGAATTTGAATATCTTGTCTACCACCCCCTGTAATTGTATCTTCATTTCTATTGGTTATTATATTTGTAGTGGTAATGAACAGTGTAGGCATCGCTGAGCAGGAGTGTACGCGCATGTCGCACACACTGTCATGTTCACACCAACACAGATTAAGTATATTTTTCCCAACGAGCCACATGGTCGACGTATGCCGGCGTTTTAACGTTTGTAGTGATAGTGCTGAATTATTTCTCAGTTTTTTGTGCCTGTTTTTAAGAGTGATTGAAAATGGCAGAAAACACGCACGCATTTGTTCAATATTACTCGGATAAATCGACAGATATAGTCGAGATTGGACAATTTGAGAATTGCAATGTCGTAACAGGAAAAAAAGCTCAAGTGAAATGGTTCAACGATCAAACGAAAAAAAATGAACACTACACGGCCTATATTCATTTTCTAGGAAGTAAGTATTTAATATTAATGAATAAATTGATAAATAACATTACAGTGTTTTTTTCTTTCTTTAAATTTAAATCTGTAAGAATCTTTCGAAGTAGTATTTAGAAATTAATAATAAAAGACAAATTAGATTCAACTTGTTTTATTTAATTTTCATTTCATTATATTTCTTGGGTAAATATTATAAATGTAAAAAAGATTTCTCTTGTTTATAAATGTAATCGATAGTAATTTTTGTTTTTGAAGAAATACCTGCGACGATATTTGTTAAAGTGAAAGTTTTGATTCATGAAAGTTGTAAACATCATAATGAAAAACGTATTTATTATCTGAAAATCTTAAAATAATTTTTCTTGGTCTCTTGTTAACTATTTTCATAAATGGAAAAAAAATTTTAATTTCCTTACTAATAATCGATATTTAATTTTTCATATTCGATATGCATTTTAATGTATTGTAATATTTTTATGAATTTTGAAAAATAAATATTTCCAAATTGTTAAATAAAAAATCAATACTATATATCACATAAGAAAACGTTAGTATTCTCTACACATTTTTTTAAAAATAAAATTGTTAATAATAAAACAACACGCTATTGGGAAATAAAATTATTAAGGACCTTTATACCCTGAAATACAGACCTCCAGAAATAAGTAATTAATGAACGTTTAAATAACTGATAAAATATTATTAATTGTATTTTTTGAAAGAACGAATATAAATTTTCAAGAAAAAAATTTATTTATCTATACAATTTGCATATGATTAAAAATTTCTGTCATATCGCTTCTACAGAATTTTTTTAAAAATGATTTAATTTTAATGTAACATGGCTTATTATTTTCAGAAAATGATTCTCTACAACTTAACCATGGGGATTTTTAAACAATCAATCCGTTTAGAAAATATAGCTATTTTTAAAAAAAAATTTTTAATTCTTTTAAACAAATAGCCATATTTTCTAAACTGCTTGATTGTTTAAAAATCCTTACGGTTAAGTTGTAAAGAATCATTTTTTGAAGAAAATAAACCATATTACATTAAAATTAAATATTTTTAAAAAAATTCTATGAAAGCGATATGACAGAAATTTTCAATCAGATGCAAATTTTATAAACAAATAAATTTTTTAGGTTTTAAATTTTTTTTCTTTAAAATTTATATTCCTTCTTTCAGAAAATACAATTAATAATATTATTTCAATTATTTAAATGTTCATTAATTATTTTTTTCTGGAGGTCTGCATTTCAGGGTATAAACGTCCTTGAATAATTATCATAAATTTTTTTTTGTTATTTCTTAGTAATTCAGTTTGCTGTTCTTAATTATTCGATTTGTTATTAATAACCGCTTAAATTGAACAAATTATTAAAAAGCAGACAAAACAAGAAAGAAAGAAATATATTAAATGCTCTATTCTTTTTTTCAGACGATATTTTTATTAACTGTATTGTTTAAAAAAATATATGGAATAAAAGTCTTGAAAAATGAGTAAACAGACAGAATATAATCAGTGGCTACTTTGGATAATATAAATCACATATAGATATACATACTAATGTGAACGAAGTTGAAGTCCACAACGTTTTTGATCAACAATTGAAAAAAAAATATTTTTTTCTATTACAATTTATAAAAAATTTACACCAGAAATAAAAATTTACAATCATCTTTAACATCCATTTTAAAAATAAAAATGTTTTAAGCAAAAAATATCTCTTTATTTTTTGTTTGAAAAAATGTTAATTTTTTAAAAATCGTTGATAAACGTTGTGGACTTCAACCACGTCTAATGTGAGGAGAATGTGTAATAGATGTTTATTTTGGATATTTTTTGAACCCTTTCAAACAGTGAAATTTTTTTAAATTCAAAATTTATTTCTTTATTGAAGATCAAGATTATTTTGAACTTTTTTCCAACAGTTCTACTGTCATTCAAAAATTTCATTTCAATTAATAGAATTTAAAAATTATTTTGAATACACGAAACACGGGTCTCGGATATTATGTTTTTCTCGACTAGTTTTAACAATTACTATTGTTTCGACTTTTCTTTAAAAGATTGCAACCACATTTTAAGTATAAAATGCAACTTATTTTCATTTTTACAGTTTGAAAAATAACTATATAGACAAATCTTTCAAAAATTATTTTTACACAATTTTTTTAGAAATAATTAAATTTTTAAAATAAACCTATAATCAAAAATTTTGAGTACTTGAAATTTTCAAAAACTTAATTGAAAATAATTGATTTTATTAGAATTTTTAAAAAACAACTTGTAAAAAATTGTAATTGCAAATATCGAAAATAATAAATTTAAAGTTCAAAAAATGTAATTATCAAATCTCAAAAATTTTAATGAAAAATCCGTAAGTGTAAATTTTAAAATGAAAATTAATGTAAATTAGCTTTAAAAAATTGTATAAGAATATTTCTGAAAAAAGTAATTCTTACAATTTTCTTTTTTTCTAAATTGTTTAAAATTGAATTATTTTTAATATTTTCAATTACCTACTTCAAAAATAGATTCAATAAATAATAATAATGAAATTTCTTAGGATAATTTGAACATTTTTGTGAAAACAAGCATGAGGTTCCTAAAGTTGGCATCGATACTCTGCATCATAAACTATTCTTTGTTATTTTTAGTGATAATATTTTAATAAATTGCATCTCTTTCATTTCACCCAAAAAGTAAAAAAGCTTTTTAAGAGTACCTTTTTGCCTTAAACCTTGGGAAAAATTGAACGATTTTTTTCAGTTTCTCGAGAAAAATATTTTTCGATACTGAACATTTTCAGTGAGAAGAAAACCATGTGCGTTCTAGAAAGGTTCCAAAAATATTTTTTGAAGTTTTCATATACACAAAATAATGTTCTGAAATATTTTAAGATCAGGAATGTTCAAAGAATGTTCTGGAATATTATTTAGTAGACATGAAATATTAAAAAAAACATTTTATGAGCGTTTTTAGAACGATCATGGTTTTTTGCAATGGGTTACTGTCACGAAAATAACTTGTATTTAGAGATTATTTTGCTATCTTTAATTAGGCATTTTCACATTATAAAAATGTGTCAACTTCTGCAAATAGCAATATTCGATATTAAATTATTAAATTAATAATTATTAAAATAAGCACTGCAACTGTAGCAAACAAATTTTGAATAATTTCAAAAAACTTTTCACCCAATACTGAGATGGAGAAAAAACCTTCCGAAAATATGTATCATATTTCTCTCTACTAATAAAAATAGTTACTAATAATAGGTCGTATTATTTAAAAAATGTGTTGTCGATAAGCTAGACACAGTTTCTTGTGAACAAATTTTCTTTTGAACGTTTTGTGAAACGTGTTTTCTATAGTTTGTATGTTGCATAAAGAAATAGATTTAGTTATATTATGACATGAATTATAAAAATATTGAAAGAGAAATTTTTTTAAAAAATCTATTTTTCAAAACAAACAGAAAGTTTTTTATTTTTATGAATTGGTTAACAGGAGTCTAAAGAAAAATAATTACTTCACATTATTGATAATTATAACTTAGAAAAATCGTTTTAACAGAAACATTTTTTTGGCGTAAATATTTCAAACGCTTTTTTAAAACTTATGATAATTGTGAACAGTTTTTGTTAGATAAAAATTATGATTTTATGAGTTTAAGTAATTCATTTGAGAAATTCAGTAGAGAAGTATGTAAATTTCGACTTCATTCACAACGAAACAAAAAAAGTTATCTAGTGGGCAAAAAACCATCTTTGTTTTTAGAACGTTTCTATAACGTTTTTAGAATGTTTCATTTCTGTCAAATAAGGTATTAAGAACGTTTAATGTTTTTAAAACGTTTTAAATAAACTTTAAACGTTCTTAAAATGTAATTGAGCAAATATAAAACGTTTTAAAAACAAAGATGGCTTTTTGATCACTGGGTATACTTAACCCCAAATTGAAATTCAAGAATTACAAACATTTGTTATTATTTGTTACAAATATTATTTAAAAATGTATTTTTAGTTTTATAAATTTAAATAATTTTATACATTTGAAATATTAATTTACAGCGAGTGAAGCTGACATTGAAAGACAAATTCAAGAATTTGAAGATACTGGAAATAGGTTGAAGTTGCCAACTTCAAGAACTGTTCTATCTTTGGGCGGCAACGTTAGCGATGATGATTTACATTTAAAAGAGAAGGTAAAAATAAAACTATAATTATTATTTTTAATATGACACTCGCAGCATCTTTTCAAACTACTTAGCTATCCAGAGTAGACCATTTGTATAATGATGCAAAAACTAAAATTTTTTGCAAATGTCTAAACAATTAGTGAAACAAAATTTTACTTTGTAAAATTTATAACTGAAATTTTAATATATTGATTGATAATATTAAGGTATTTCGCTCACTTTTTTACTTGGAAAATTCGATTTTATTAAAATATGTGTTATGTTTCGAGTAAATGTTCCTTTAGGCAATCCTTTTTCCTCGTAAAAATTTTGCAACCCTTTGCTGTACCATAATTGAGATATTTGGATTTAAATTTTGATCTTTTAACAAAATTACATGTAAAGTTCAAAATTTGTATTCAAATATTTCAATTACCGTACGATAAAAGGTTCTAAAATTTTTACCTGAAAAAAGGTTTGCATAAAGGAACATTTACTCACAATTTCAAGAATATTTTAATAAAATCAATTTTTTCAAGTTTAACGTGAGCTGAATACCTTATTATGATAAATTACATTTCTGAAATTTAAATGCTTCAAATTATTTTATGAATTGTGACAAACATAAAAACTGCTGCCAAGTTATGTTTAAAAGGTTTTATCTGTCGTCACTTTGTGAACACTTTGCTTCCTCATAGAGAATGAAATAAACTATCTTAATATTTTACCTACTAATTTCATTACTCCACAATTTCACTACAAATATTCTATAAGTTAGGTACAATTTTATGTTTTTCTAAAAAAATCAAAGAATTTTTATTTTTGAAAATAGAATAACTCTGCCATTTTTTATCATAAAAGGTTCGTTAATAAGTCAATCGGTGCGTTTTTCAATACTCTACAAGGTAGTTATGGGTCCCCAGCACGACTTACATTAAAAAAATGGTTATTTTTAGTAAAATATAGTAATTAGTATAAAAACTATTGATAGTTTCGTTTTGTTTATGTTAGTAGATTTGTAAAAAAAACGCATTTGTGAAAGAAAATTTAATTAATTTAATTTTTTTGGTTTTAATTCTTGTCCCGCGTTTTTGCGTCATGGTATAGCCTTTTTATAAAATAGCATTTTTTTACATAAAAATAAAATCGAAACTTCACTCAATATTAGTTAAAAGCAAGAATAAGCTCTCCTAAGTGAATTACTAAGAGGGAAACTGCTTTCAGAAATAATTTTTTTGTTTTTCATACATCAAAAGCATCATATGTGCATAGGGAATCACAGAATCGTCATGGTATAGCCTTCAAATATTTCGCAATAAAAATAATGATTATTTATATTTTATGTCAACTGAAGTGTAGTAGTATTAGTTCAGTGAATATAATTAACGTAAATATGAAACAGATTGAAAATCGCCAATAAATTGTTGAAAAAATCAGTTTTTCTTGTGCGTCATGGTATAGCCACATCGTCATGGTATAGCCGTTTTGTCATTGCAAGGCTTTTCTCCATTGAACGGTGTGTTTCACTGAAGTATCTATAAGTGCACATAGAAAGTCAAGCAAAACAATTTGTTTTAAACATTGAACTTTAGGTAACTAATAAATAATTACATAAATTTCCATAAATTACTGCAGAAAGTTTCGTAAATTACCGCATAAATTTCCATATATTTCCATAAATTTCAAAAAAAAAATTTTTTTCAATTATGCTTGATAATAAATTGTTAATTACAGCATAAGTGTCCATAAATTACCGAATAAATTTCCATAAATTTCCGAAAAAAAAATTTTCATTTTTTTATTTCTGCTTGATAATTAATTGTTAATTAGAGCATAAATGTCCATAAATTACCGCATAAATTTCCATACATTTCCATAAATTTCCAAAAAAATTTGTTAATTTTTGAAATCCTATGTCAGAAATTGACATGAAAAATGATTTTTTCTTTCTCAATTTCCATCTGTCAGAAAATAATTTTTTAAAGAAATTGTAAAAACGTTACAATTATTTTTAAAAGCTGCATTGACTACTTATATAATTTATTTGTTTATAAAATTTATACAAAAAAGTGAAACTTTTACAAACAAGAATCTTAAACAATCTTCCTTTCCTTCATGTAAAATTGATTAGGATTCACAGTTTTTTCTAAAAATTTTACTTTTTTATAATTTATTTAAACAATAATTGTTAAATAATTATAATTTGCAATACAGAATATATATACGGATAATTATTATTTTATTTACCGGTAATTATAACATTAAAACTGACTTTATTTCACCCTATCTGGATAACATAGCCGCATAGTACGTACGCAGATATATGTGCAAATTGTTTATTAAGAATAATATAAAAATTATAAATATTTTGTCCGGCCCACCATGAATATTTCATTCTTGAACATCAACTTTGAAGATTCTATATCAACTTTTACTCAATTCGAAAAAAAAATTTTCAATAATAGAAATTACTAAATCATGCGCTACACGGAGAATCACCCTAATAATATCTAGAATAATCTGTAAAGATTTTTAATTTAAAAATTCAAGAAAGTCGTATTTTTCAAAAATTTTGATTTTTGAAACGTTAATAACTCTGAAAAAAATAACTCTAGAAAATTCGCCAATAGATTAAAAAATGCGCATTAAAAATCTCTACAAAATGAAAGGAAAATAACGCTAGGTGTCTTAACATTTTTTTGAAGTTAGGAATAAAAAACTTTTTTTGAAGAAATGAAAAACACGAAAAAAACATAGTTAGACTTGATGAATCTTGCTAAAAATACTTTTATTTTATGTCCCCCTGCGAGATCTACAATTTAAAAAAAATTCATGACCAAAGCACTAGTGCTTAGAAAACTGCGCTTTAGTCGAGTTTTTGACGCAAGGTGTTATAAAAATTTTTTTAAAAAATCATTTTTGAACTCCTGAGGTAGAATAATCAATTGTCAAAAAATCACAATAGAAAATTTTCACCAATAGAATGCTTCCTATGAGAAAGCAATAATTGTGCGAGCAAGAGTCTTCTTCGCTTCCTCAAGGGCTGTGCGAAAGACTCTGCATTCTCCGCTCCGGCGATGTGGTCGGTGGACATATTTTCGCCAGATAACGCCTTACACAAATAGCAGCTAGGGCTCTTCTTGCAGTCAGCAAACCTGTGACCAGCTTCTCTGCACTTAAAGCAAGCAGCTGATCTGTCCGCCACCTTGCATCCTCTTGCGAGATGGACATACCGGAGGCATCGATGACACCGGATGACCATCACACGTCGTTTGATCGGGCAGGACATAAAGCCGATCTTTATGCGTCCCAATTTCTCCAGCCTGTCCGCATCTTCTTGGTCGGTGACTACAACCGCGAGCTTCATCCCTCGACGGTTGGGTCCTAAGACCTTCAGCTTCCTGCTTCCTGGCTTCAAGAGTACTGCTTTCTGGGCGTCCCGGACTTCTGCTCCTTGGGTAAGGCAATCCAGGTCGCGGATCTCAAGAGTGATCTTTCGATCCACCGTCTGCACCTTTTCCATGCTTCCCACCGCTTTGATGACCTCGGCGGTGAAGGCCTCCTTGTTGGACTCTGCTCCGATTTTAATCAACAGGTCTCCTTTCTTGGTGGGTCTTGCTGCCATGATTGTCGTGTGGCTGGTGTCGGGGTTTACTTCCTTACGAAGCTTCCCTAACACGTCAGCATTCGTTTTGTCCGAAACGACTCGGATCACCACGGTTGATCCTCTCGAATCTATCTTCTTCCTGGGCTGCTTAGGCTTTCGGTACCTCCTTCGCCTTAATTTCCTTCTTTGTTGGAGGTGTATCCTCTTTCTTCTTTTTGGCATTGGCCTCTGGGCTGCCAGTGCCTCGTTTCCGTTTCTGCGCCACCAAGACAGCGCGTTTTATCTCTCGGGCCTGGATGCGGTTCTGTTTCTCGACCCTGATCCTTCGATTTTCTCCTGCGAAACTCATAGCACTCAGCATACGTTCGTCACCGTTATCCGCTTTCTTGTGCTTGTTGTTCGCTTCTATAACGAGTTCCTGAAGAATTTTCAGTCCGTCCTTGATTGTCCTATTGACGTTCTTTTGTATGTCGCAAGATTTTACCATCTTTTCGACTTCCTCTCCGATCCGTTGATAATGTAAAACATTTATAATTCATTCAGTGAAGTAACTAGTCATATTAATATGATTTAGGCGTTTAGCAACCGGGAAAATAGGAAATTTAGCTCGACTGTAAATAACCCAGGAAATTAACTGAATTTAAAAAAATATCCGTGAATTTTGGAAAAGTTTGGCTTCTCGTTAAAATGGTCAAAAAATTTCGATTTAAATTGAATTTTTTCCAACAAAAGCAGTGCTATAGCTTGGAAGATGTGTTGCTTATAATACCTTTTAAATTTTCAGAGTGTATCTTTTGCCATATTTTATGTTAAATTGTTTATAAATAATATATTTAAATATATATGAGTGATTCTTCAAAAAAAGTCATTTAGCATGTTCTCAAGATTTTCTAAATAATTATAATTTTGTTTGGAAAATACCGAATCATATTTCATTTTTTAGTACTTTTTCTGAATATCGTACAAGAAAAAGTTGTAAATCTTTACTGTTTAATGTTTTTTTTTTCTAATTTTACCACTTAAAATGTAGGTTATCTAACATGTCCTCAAACCAATCTTCCAACACATAAAATAATTATTAAAAGCATGAGAATAAATATTTCATAAATTTTTTTTTGAAGATTTTCCAAAATATAAATATAATATTTCTTATAGTTTTTGTAAATATAGAAAATGAATTTTGTCGCCCAGTCTCGCGTCACTCCTATGACCTGTTGAATATTACATAATATTTCCGCTATAAGTAAAGTTATTTATTAATTAATGTGACAAATCTTGGTATTAACATCTCTTTCGTAATTCTACATAACATTTTTAAAAAAAAATTATTATTGGAATTTAAAAAAATAAAAATTCAGGAATTTTCAAAGATTCACAAGCTAAGGCGTCAATTCTCTGACTCAAATTAAAAAAAATTAAATAGATTTAAATTGTTCTCAATTTTTTTAGTATAAAGTTATCATATTCGAACATGTTAGGATAATCGAAATTTGAGGAAAATCATTTGATAATGAAATAATATTAAAAAAGTGTTGGAATCATCATTTCTGTGGTTCGCCATTAATTGAACCGCCGGATCGTAGAAGGGCATACGCGCAATGTATTTTAAATGGCGCGTGTGCGCTTCTACGATCCGGAGGTTCAATTCCTCTGATTCCTTTGAATAAAAATTCAGAATTTAAATGACCATCAATTGTTTATAAACTGTCACTAAAAAATCAACCTAAAAATTTTGAAAAGTGATCGCTGCTGTTTAGAAAATGTCTTATTCTCGTAAATTTTTCAAAATAAAATAATAAACTGTTTGTTAATTTATAATACCTTGACAAGTGAAATAAAAAAAAAATTTTTTTGTCCTACCTGCACGGAAAGTATGTATGTCATTTCGGGCACTTAGTGCGGGCGCAAAATAATACATTCTCGTCTGGGGGTGGGGTAAGCAGGCGGAAAGGTATTTTGCGCTCGCATGTTGATTTCTTTTTTTTTCTATAAAAAGTGAAAAAAAATTAGAATAATACAATATATCATTATCTTTTATTTTATTCGTTATTAAATATATGTAGCTTATTATTCACAACCCAAATTAATTTATGCATTCGTAGAATAAATATTCTGTTCTAAATAAATAAATATTATATTCTTAAAATTGTTTTCTTTTTTTTGATCTCCAAAATTCTAATAGTATGTTGACTTTAAAGTGCCATCACATCTTTTCATATAATTTAACTTTTTACTATAATGAGCAATTAGCTGTTCGAGCCCTCAATGCCATACTTTCCATGCAAGTAGGACAAAAAATCATGTTCGCACCAAAGGACGCAAAAAGTGATTGTGGCTCAGGCGAGAGTGGGGCAACCTCGGCGACCCGAAGCACCCGAGGCAAAGCCTCGGGTGCTTCGGGTCCCCTCGGTTGCCCAATTTCGCCTTCGCCGCAATCACCTCCTTTGCGCCCTTGATACGAAAATAACTTTTTTGGCTAAGGCAGCGACTACATTGGAAAGTAGATGTGCTGCATGGTATTTGAATTGAAAAAACCACACAAAAAATCAACACTTGTAAATCATTCAATTATTTAAGTTTTAAAAATTTGACTGCAATCACTAAATAATTTTATTTTTTTATTGATTCCAGAAAGCAAAAATTTCAGCGGCAAAAACTAGAGTTAAAGATGAAATCTTGAACGAGTACTATAAGAATAATACATTGTTAAAAGACAGAAAAAAGCTTAGTCTTGATGACGAGATAGAAGAGGAAACTGAACGTGAAGATAATGAAAAATCTAATACTCAAGAAGATAATATTCAGAAATCTAAGGAGATTAGTTTGGACAGTCATCATGAACCTGCTAATAGCAAAAGATTAAAAGTCAATCACCCAGTAATAACATCAAATGTTTTGATTTCTTGCGGAAACAATGCTATACCTGGAACAAGTAAACACAAAAATAAAGAATCTATAATGAGTCAAGATAAGAATCCACAATCTGAAGTCGGCCAAAAAAAAAATGAAGTACTTGCAATGCGTCAAGGTGAAAATGCTGACTCTGGAATCAGTCGTAACATAAATCCAGAACTTGAAATGGATCATCGCGAAAATGCAGAACATGCAATAGGTCAGGACGAAAATGAAGAACCACGAATAAATCAAAATGCAAATGCTGAGCATCAAATTAATGGAAGACCTCATGCAGTTAGGAGAATAAAATTGAACAAATATGATGTCTACAATAATCAGGTAATGATAATCTGGAATATTTTATAAACAATCACGGCACTTTGTGCAAAATTTTTAAATTCTTGAAGAAAAAGTTTTTCAGAAGTCACTTCAAATTTTTACCCTCGATAAATTTGCCATTTTCTTCATAAAAATTATTTGCTGATTAAGGGGACATTCCAGTTTAAAATGGGTAAAAAGAAGGCTTTTTTAGGATGTATTTTTAAAAAAACCATGACATTTATTCAGAAATTTTTGTTTACATGTTATAAACAACTTATTAAATAATATAAAAAAAATTTTTTTCCACTTTTAGTCCAAGATGCCGGAGCTGTACAACATTTTCAAAAATGTTCATTTTTCATGGGGGGAGTGATTCCAAGATTTCCAAAACAGATAGAGACATAAAATAAAAAAACATTTTCTTCGTTAGATGATTCTCTATGGATGGAACCTCAAAAAAGTGAAATTTTCGTTCCCTTATTTTTTTTAGAGCACTTTTTTCCCAAAACTTGAAAAAAACACACGTTTTTATTCAAAATTTATGCTATAGAAAAGACGGAAATGGAAAATTTTACAGTTTTCGAGGTTCCGTCCATAGCCATGATGATTGTGAATTAAACGCAGTTTGGTTTTTGAAAATCGGTTGAGTAGAACTCGAGATATCACTCCCCCCAGTTCAAAAAAAGACATTTCGAGAAAAACGCACTTAAAGTTTTTGTTAGGCAAGTTTGTATATTTAACCATCAAAATGGCGGATCCAATATGGCGGACGACTTTTTTAAACAAGCGTCGGATTTGCTTGAAAATCGTTACTCGGAGGTTTTCGGGGTCGCTGAGTACGAATCCGATGTCAGTTTTTAAAAATTCAAAATGGCGGATCCAATATGGCCGACGACTTCTTTAAACAAGCTTCGGATTTGCTTGAAAATCGTTACTCGGGGGTTTTCGGGGTCGCTGATTACGAATCCGATGTCAGTTTTCCAAAATTCGAAATGGCCATAATGGGTCTGCCATTTTGGTTTTTAAGAAACTGACATCAAATTCGTGATCAGCGACCCCAAAAACCCCTGAATAACGATTTTCAAGCAAATCTGACGCTTTTTAAAAAAATTCGTCCGCCATATTGGATCTGCCATTTTGAATTTTTGAAAACTGACACCGGATTCGTAATCAGCGACCCCGAGTAACGATTTTCAAGCAAATCCGACGCTTGTTTAAAAAAGTCGTCCGCCATATTGGATCCGCCATTTTGAATTTTTAAAAACGAATACCGGATTTGTAATAAGCAATCCCGAAAACCCACGAGTATCGAATTTCAAGTTAATCCGATGAATTTTAAAAAAAAGGTCCGCCATATTGGATCCGGCATTTTGAATTTCAAAAATGTTGATATTTAATTTGCAATCAGTAACCTCATATTCATTTATGTGTGTCTTTTTTGGAAAAGACAAATGAGGAAACATTTTGATCACTCGATTGCGTTCTAGTAATCCGTGCACAAAAAAATCTTTGACATGGCGTAGAATATACAATTATAACTTTTGTTTTACTTCGAATTTTGCAATAAACTTTTAGGGGAGTATTCTAGAGACTATGAGGAACCCGAAAATATAAAAAAAATCAATTTTTTCACATTTTGAACTGGAAAGTCCCCTTAATTGCTGCTATTTTTCTCAGTATCTTTAAAACAAATAATATTTTTTATTTATTATTCAATACTCAGAAAATTAGTTTCATTTATTAAATACATATTTTGATAAAATTATCATTGGAAAGTTATTAATTTTTAAATTACTTTAAGAGTAAAGCTATCTTTAAATTTATTTATTTTGTAAGCAAAAGTATATAGTGTAACGTTACATTAGCCATATTTAATTAAAAATTTTCTTCCTCTGCATCATGTAATATCAAATTCATTAAGTACATCTAAATTTTATACTTCTGTACTTTCCAAATACTTTAATTTTTGTCTTTCTGAAGTTTAATGTTATCTAATCTATGATAATTAATTTTCCAAATTCTATAAACTTAATTTTCAGTTACATTAAAAGAATTGAGCCAGTTTATGCAAATTAAATTTTAAATACGTCTTTGTAGAATCATAAGAAATTTTTTCACATTTTGAACAACATTTATAGTTGCATTTCAATTAAAATTACAATTTTTTGTCATTAAGAAGTAATTGTTAAATTTTAGGCTATATTACTTTAAATTAAAAATTTTTATTACATTGCAATCAAAGTTCTTTAAAATGTTTAAATTAAATTATTTGCGCCATACCTTCGATATATATATATATAAATATTTTAAAACGATAAGAATAAAATTTAAGGACAAATTAAGCATTTATGGGGGATTCTTCCTCAATCGTCCCAGCCAAAAAAAAGTTCTTGGATTGACTTGATACTTTGGTAAATTGTTGTCCTATTTGAAAGTAACAAATCCCTAAAATATTAACTCTTTAAAAAAAAATTGCAAAAAGTAGTGGGGGTTGAAGTTTTTTCGTTTAAGGTGACACTATCATTTTCAAATCACTGTAACTACGACAAATCTTTATGGATTTTAATTTTTATATAATGAATTTTAAAGCATTTTTTATGTACTTTTCAACGATTACAACGAAATTTTGGAAAAAAAATTTTTCACCCCCTTTTTTTCAAAATTAACTCTTATTTTTGAATTTTCATTCCTTTGGGTATTTTTAATTTTTTTTATTTTACTCTCATTAGAAAGCTGAGGTTTTTTCCAATGAGTTATGTAAATATAAAAGTGGGACAAAAAGAAGTTTGCGAGAAAAATAATATTAAATGACGCGGCGCGTCCAATCCATGGACGCAGTGGGCCCTGTCATAGCAAGTCGTGCCTATTTTACTTCAGTAATAGCTCTCTGCATTATACAGGGTTGAGACTGTCATTAAAATAGTGCCAGCATTACTGTTACTGAAAAAAATTTTTAATTTGGAAAATGATAAACTGAAGTTATTGCTAAATTGGATATTGTTTTTTTGATATGAAATTATTTATTTTTGTAATATTGAAAAACCTCTTTAAAATATATACTTGGGAGCAATTTAGAAAGATTGTTTTGAATTTAAAAAATGAATTGATTTTTAATTTAAAGAATGTCAAATTACTTTTTAGATTGTTTTTTACATTTTTTGGTGACTGTTTTTTGTTGAGAAACTCGTAAAGGGATTTTTTTAGTTTTTTTAATGAAAATGTCATATTCGGAAGCCCGCGAATATTTTTTTAATTCAAGCTTACCTCCCCTTTAGGCATAAAGGAATGATATTGAAGTGTGCCTTGTACAGTTTGAGCGTTATCGAATCTGTTATTTAAATTTTGAGCAGCCTCAACATGAGCGTCTTTGCTACTGTAAAAAGTTAGCGTTTCTTTACAATATTTTTGTGACCAATCAAAGAGAGCTTTGGCAGTTAGAATTCGATTCTCTAATGAGCATTGGAGACTGTAACGAGCAGCATTTCTTTTTATATTTGCTCCAATTCCATCACAGGGGCTGTTGCCATGAGCTGTAGCATGGAAATGCCATTCAGCTAATATTCTAAAATCTGTCTGATGAGCCAAAAGATTCGCGAAATTATTTTTGTTTTTAAAATGCTGCCCAGCACCATCCGTAAAGTAATATAACTTTTTAGGATTAAAATTGGTTTTTAGATAAGTAATTAAAATATTTTGGTATACGTAAACGGCAACAGTATCGTGAGTCAAATTGTCGGATATTATTGCTATACTCTTGTGCTCTAGTTTTTCAAATTGTTTATTATAAATAACCACTGTAAATATAGTGGCTTGGTCATTATTCCAATGAAAAGACTGAGCAGCATTTTGTAAAACAAAAGCATAATTCTCTGCAAAGTCACAAGTAATTAAAAATTCGTCATCTTGCAGAGAATATTTTAGACTGTTCATAAACGATGATTGCTCTTTTGCAATAAAATGATGTGACTTTAATTTATTCAATTTTTGGCAAAGTTCATTTACAAATTCGTCTGTGCTCATTACAATGGTATTTAAAGAGCATCTATCTGTTTGTGTCCATGAATCAAATTTAATTTCATCGATTTCATTTTCTTCAAAATATTCAATCAAATTTTCTTTAATTTTTGAATCATCAGGACAGTTCTGACAGCCTTCTAAATAACAAGTACTTGTTGGATTAGAACAAATAAGAAGATTTAAACAATCGTAATAATTTTCATAAATTACTTCGGGATCATTTGTCAATGTTTGAATATCTATGCTATCTAGCATTAATCTTACATTTTCATGGTACACGCAGACGCAAACGGTATGAGTTCCGCTGCTGCCTGCTAAAACGCAATTTGCTGGCCTCAATTGAGCAAATTTTGAAAAGCTTAAGGAAACATCTTTATACTCAGATGTAAAAAGAGAGTATAATTCTTTAAGATTACAAAGTATTAATCTTTTTTGGACATGCTCTCGACTCCCATCGCTTTTACGAACTGATATAAAGTCTTTTATTCCTGGTAATAAGCGACTATTATCATCTCGTTGATAAAAATTTGTTACCAAAATTTCTTTGTCAGAATCTAAAGGTTTTCCTTTTCTTGCAGCGGGAAGTGCTAAAATCCCCATCTCTGAAACTAACTTTTTTGCAGTTCTAACGTTGCGTTCGGACGCACCAAACATCGACATAATTTTTTGCCTGCCCAAAGATCTTGGAGCAAGCGTAAGAAGCTGAATTTTTTTAGCTATATTAGAAGTTGATTTAAATTCTTCAATAATTGTTTCTAAAACTTCAACGGCTTCTTTATGATATAAGTAACCGCATTGAGGTTTTGAAAAAGATACGAAATCGTTATCTTTATCATCATCAAAATCTTCACTTTCATTGTCACAAGAATTAATATTACAAGCAACAGTATCGGATGAATCTAAATCAGAAGAAGCTATATTAGGAAAAGAAGAATTCAATTCTGAATTTAAAACACCTTGAACAGATTTTAATTTACCGAGCTCTTTTCTGCATTTAGAACAAATTTTTGAAAATTCTGGTAATGTCGGAAATTTTTCTCTGATTTTACTCGAAATTTTAAGCAAATCATTTGATTTGTGATTCTCTTTTCCAAGAGGATTTGCACATTCATTCCTCCAAACAAGTTTGGAGTCTTTTTTGACTTCTGCCATTTAAAGAAAGATAGTATTTTTAAATATACTATGCTTATAAATATAAATAAAATCAAAAATAGAAATAATCGTTAACTTGCCTTGAAAAAACTTACCTTGAAACACAATATGCACAAAATAAATTGTGAAAGCAAATTATTTGAATACAGTCTTGTTTCTTATATTCGCAGAGATCAATGTTATTTTCGAGTTACAGAAAAATCATAAACCATCTAGCGAAAAGTCGGGGAACTAGTAAAAGCGAGGGAAACATTTGAAAACGACAAAACAATAATATGTAGACAATTTAATTAAAGAAATATTTAAATTTCACTACTATTAATTAATTAATTTATGCACGCAATTATTTATTTATAAACTTATTTTGAAAAGTAAACATTCATAAAATAATATAATATACATAAATTTAGAATAATTTATATAATAAACAAAAAATATAATGAAAATATATAAATGTAGAAAATTTTTATTTTATTTATTAATATTCAATTGCACTAATAATCAAGTGAAGTTAATAAAATGATGTTCCATCAACAGCTTTAATACTGAAAGGTAAGAAAACAGGACGATAGGGCCTTCTGCGTCCATGGTTTGGGCGCGCCGCGTCATTTGATATTATTTTTCTCGCAAACGAAAAAACTTCAACCCCCACTACTTTTTGCAATTTTTTTTAAAGAGTTAATATTTTAGGGATTTGTTACTTTCAAATAGGACAAAAATTTACCAAAGTATCAAGTCAATCCAAGAACTTTTTTTTTGGCTGGGACGATTGAGGAAGAATCCCCCTTATTTGGATTGAAATAATTGATGATTTGACATATTTTCAATCACTTCAATATATTTAAATTTAAAACATTGTAATTAGGTATCATTATGGAGTGTTACGTTTTATAAAAAAGTTGTTTATTTTTAACCTAGGTTTCGTCGTCGGGTTTAGACCATAGCATAACATAAAGTAATTACGCAACGTTACTTTTACATTTAGATTTAAGCCTATAAGTATAGAAAGATTTTTTCCTCGAGTTTACTTCCTGCTGCTGATTAAAAAAGCTGTAGGTCAAGTTACTCAGTTATCAAGTGCACTATAGAATTTACTATGGGAACACTAAATAACGTTTCTTTAAAAGGATAGAGATATATAATATTTAATCTAATACAGGCATTTTTCGACTTATTTTCCAAAAATTTGACTTTTTTGACTTTACTTACAAATATTATAGCAAAATACAACTTTCTTCAAGCAAATTACTTTGACTTTTATAAGGTAAAAAAATAACCAAATATTTGGAACTTTATTTTTGATTAATTTTTCTATATGATAAATAAATTTTCGAAATATTTAACTAAATATTTTTAAATAATTGAAATTTTATAAAATTTATGAAAATAAGTTTTCGAAAAATTTTAATTGCAAATTTTTGAAATAATTGAATTTTAAAAAATGAAAAATCAAAATGAAAATGAATGTAAATAAAAGGTATAATAAAATATTATTAAAAAAACTACTTTTTGAAATTTTTGTTATTATAATCTTTTAAAATTCAATTCAAAATATCTGAAAAAAAGAATTACATTAAATTTTTTTTTAAATCTAATTGTTTAGAACTATTATTAAAATTTTAAAGAAAGCAATTATTTTCAAAATTTTCAATTGAAATTCTCCAAAATACTTATTAAATTTTCAAGTTGTCTAAAAGTTTAATTATTTTTGAAGACTGACATTACACCTATCAACAAAGAAATATAAGAAAATTTTTTTAAAATGTGCTTTATTATGGATTTGTGTTTCAAATTTAATGAATTTTAATTATTTGGAAATTTTTTAATTATTTGTAATTAAAAAATCTATTATCATTCAAAATTTTTGTTTAAAACTAATTTTAATTTTTTTTATTTTATAATTTTTAAAAATAGTATTATTTTCAATATTTTGGATTATATATTTTTAATAATTCATCTTTATTACTTTAAAAATTATTTAAAATAATTGATTCAGTGAAGAAGTTTAGTTAAAATTCTTTTCAATTTTAAAAATCGTTAACTTTCAGAATGATTGAAGTTGAAATTTTTAAAAATTATTTAAAAATTCTTGTAGAAAAAGAAACAGCAAACGTATTTAAATTTTTTTACTTAACAAAATTATTTAATTTTTGATTAATTGAAGTTATTAATCAAGGAAAAATAACATAACATTTTTGTGATACTAAGGAATAGTATAAACGACTTTGTTTTGTCTTTTTTAAATTTCCAATTGACTAAAACGACTTTTTTCGAGTCTTGAAGTCGATCTGAAGACTGTATATATTGTCTCATGATGATCATTAGTCCAAATTATAATGCTAGTTATGTGTCCTGACGTGTGACTTTTTGCTCAATGACTGACAATCCGTATTGTTCAACATTTTCCTGGAATTGTAAGATAACTGACAAAGGAATGTAAAATAATACAAAGAAAACATTTATTTTGACAATATTTTTACATTTTCAGACGTATCTTGGTGGAGGAATAATGATTTTAACCGAAGATTGGAATGATATTAAACGTTCAAGAAGTAATGGATGCTTTATAATAAATTTAGCACTTTGTATTTGGGGCGACGATTTAAAAAATATGTGCTTGGATGAAACAAGGGCTGGTCCCCGCGATGAAGAACAAGTTCAAGTTCGGACACAAATTCCAAACAAAATGATTAGGGCCATGGAAGGTAATTACAAAATATAATTATGTATGTAAATTTTTAAAATGCAGTAGTAAATTTGGGTGTTCTACTTTATATATTCTTTTAAATTTGAGACGTCTAGAATTAAGCAAAGTTACAATTAATATAAAACGTTAAAGTAAATCAATCATAAAAGTAATTTGTCTAAATGTTTTTCCCTATTTTACTTCATCGAATCAATATTTCTCAAATGTACAAAATTGATAAATAATTAAAACTGTTTCATTTATAATTATAATGAACTCAAAATGTAAAATATCAGTGATATAAAGTAAGCCTATCAGTTTATTTCGAATTCGAAATATAAAACTTTATGTTACTTATTTTTTAAAATTAAAACTCATTTAGGGCTTAAACGTATGTTAAATATGTATATGGAGGAATATTTCAAATTTAAAGTTATCTTTAATTTGAACTCAAAATTTTATTAACTACTAAAGTTTGCAAAGTTAATGCTTGCAAAAGCGGGGTGTAAGTTGAATACTAAAAAAATTATTATTCAATAATTAGTTACAATTTTCCATCAATGTAACACTTGAATTTGATAACTTAATAGGGTTTTAATTAAATAAAAAAAACTTCATGAAATTTGCATTTACAGTTTTTTAGAAAATAAAGTTTAAAAACTTTAACTTGATTTTGATTTTTTACAGATTTAGAGAATATAAGTTTTAGAAAACCCTAATTATTTCAAAAAATAAAATTTCTGAAATATATTTAATAATCCTTAAACGAAATAAATGTACAAGATAATGACGAAGTATTTACTAGAATTCATCGAGAAGTGATCTCTTAAATACTTTGGCATATATTAGGGTGTCTAACAAGGGTTGAAAAAAAATTTACTGATTCTTGACTTTTTACTAAATTCATAATAAATTAATTTAACAATATATTAACTTCTATTTATACTGAAAAATGGTAATAAAAATCATTTTAAGTCTTAATAGATCAATAAAAAATGAGAATTTTTGAATAAATTAATAGAAATTTATCTGACTTTGAATGATAAAAAAAAATCCTCTACAATTTTCCCTGACTGTCAGACACCCTAATAAAAGCACACGATTTGTATAAGATGAAATGACCATAATTTGAACATTCATAAAAAAATTTTCTGCTATTTCACTTAATAAATAAACAATCCTTTTCTTTATTTCAATATCATAGAAGTGTATAAAGATAGACTAATAAAACAAGGAGCAAAAGGACAGAAAAAATTAAAGGAATTGGTTGGTAGAGTAAGGAAGACCTTAACGTCGAAAATAAACGACCTGAATAAACCTAAAAATAGAAGAGAGAGAATTCGTAAGTTAAATTATATTTTGTAATATTTTATTTTAACATTTCCATGGATGATTTGTTCTTTTTAAAAATTTTGTTTGTACATTCGTTAAAAAAATTTGTTTAATTTTTTTGCTTGGAAATTTGAGATTTTCAAAAAAAAATTCATACAAGGGAACAGAAACTGGGCACAATTCAGAACAGAATAATATATATGTATTTTTTGTCCTACCCGCACGGAAAGCACGTCATTTCGAGCACTTAGAATAGAGGCAAAGTATCACTTTGCATGCGCTTAGTTTACCCTCGAGGTGTAATGGAGATGCATTTTGGCATTTTTAAGAGAGAGCGGGCGCAATAATTATTTTCATACCAAGGACTCAAAGTAGGTGATTGCGGCGATGGCAAGATTAAGGGGGCACCCGCAGTTGTAACGCCAAAAAATAGACATTTTTCCCGAATTTTTTTCTCGTAAAGCATTAATTTTTTTAAAATATCTTTAATAATATTTAATAATATTTAATAATATTTTTTTACCTAAAAGTACATGCTTAAAAGTTGAATTTGAAAAAAAGAAATGTTAAAAGTAGGGGAGGATGGGGCAAGGATAGTTAGGTAAGATATTTTTGGATCTAGCGGTGAAATTTAAACTGGCATCAGAAAAAGAATAGTATCGTTCGAAAGCCTGTTTATTTAGCTACAATTTTGCTATACATTGTTTTCTTGTAGATTGCAATGCCTTCGAGATAATATTGGAAAAGTAAAAAAAAATTTTTAACTATCCTTGCCCCACTAGTGGGGCAAAGATAGTTGAAAATTTGTTTTTACTAAGAATGATACAAAAAATCATGAAATTTGATTTTCCATTGTTTCAAGGTATCGAATTATATTTGTCAAGACTTAACAATAAAAATTATTATTCTAATTAAATCGAATCATGTTTAATACAACTTAGCAGTTAAGGATGATAATTTTTATCAAAAAAACATGTTTTTTGTGAATTTTTTGAAAAACAAAAAAATTATTAAATCGCGATCCATAAAAAGTAATTAGCATTTCGTTTGCAATTAAAAAATTGTGTTAGCCAGACATTACCTTGTCATAAGTATTACAACAAGGCACTAACTAGTTTTGCCCCGTGAGCGCTTTTTTCGAATTATCACAAATTTTTAGTACAAAAAAATTTTTTTTTTAAAAAACGAATATGATATTCGTTTTCAGCACAAAATTTTACACCAGAAAACATTTACGCAACCAAATATATTTAATAAATTATATCCGCAAAAATAAGATTGAATAATAAAAATAAGGTGAAAATATTTTAGCAAAACTGAGAATTAACACAAATGGGCACGTAGCTTCTACAAATAGTGTCCCCGCAAGCTCAAATTTTTACTGTCGTCTTTTGGTGTTAAGACGAGTGTACATGATAAATGACCCGTTTTTTTGACGAGCCGTTTCTGTATTAGAGCCACTAACTATCCTTGCCCCTTAACTATCCTTGCCCCACTCTCCCCTATTAATTAGTTCTAAAGTTATGTTCTGCTGAAGTGACGTCCTCCTGGAAAACATGGTTTGCGGTGACCAACAGTACGGAAATTTGATTCGTCGGAAATCAAAAATTGCAACGAATTTACATATATTGAAAGATTATTATCTAGTCCTTGTTCAAAGAATTTATGAAAAAAAATATTTGACAAAATGGCGACCTGTCAAAGTTGAACGTTCAATTTTCATAAAAAAAGGTCGTTTTGCAGCTGTAAAAAGAAAAGTTTTGCTTAAAAAAATCAATCCTTCGATCAAGGACTAGATTGTTGAAAAAATATGTAAAATTTCGAGACAATCGGTTCAGCAGTTTTTAAGTAAGAATAGTTTATTTATTTTGGTATGTAGGTTGTTTATTATTATCCAATCATGACTTTTTTTATTTAAAGCTAATTTTTTAATACCACTTTTTTAAAAAGAAAGTTTTTATTGTGTTCATAATATGAATGCATTAGAATATGGAGGTAATATTACACTGTCCGACAAAATTCAACTTTTTTTTTCACACACGAATAAATCAATGATTTTCAGAAACTAGGAACAAAAAAAAGATACCCGTGTCTGGCCGTTTTGCTAGATCAGGTCATTTTTTGTTTTTTGGGGTAAAAACAACCCTTAATTGACAGGTGATAGGAAATCTTGTACAAATAAATAATTTTTTATGAAACCTGGTATCTCGGGGTTTTCCGGGTCGCTGATTACGAATCTGATGTCAGATTTTCAAAATTCAAAATGGCGGATCCAATATGGCGGTCGAAATTTATAAAAGTTCATCGAATTCACTTGAAACTTGTTACTTGAAGGTTTTTGGGGTCGCTGATAACGAATATGAAGTCAGATTTTGAAAATTCAAAATGGCGGATCCAATATGGCGGTCGAAATTTATAAATATTAATTATTTTTTATAAAACTTGGTGTCTAGGTGTTTTTGGAGTCGCTGAGTACGAATCTGAAGTCAGATTTTTAAAATTCAAAATGTCAGATTCAATATGGCGTTTCAAATTTATAAAAGTTCGTCGAATTCACTTGAAACTTGTTACTTGAAGGTTTTTGGAGTTGCTGATTACGAATTTGATGTCGGGTTTTCAAAATTCAAAATGGCGGATTCACTATGGTGGTCGAAATTTATAAATGTTATTATGTCATTATCAGCGACCTCAAAAACTCCTAGACACCAAGTTTTATAAAAAATAATTAATATTTATAAATTTCGACCGCCATATTGGATCCGCCATTTTGAATTTTCAAAATCTGACATCATATTCGTTATCAGCGACCCCAAAAACCTTAAAGTAACAAGTTTCAAGTGAATTCGATGAACTTTTATAAATTTCGACCGCCATATTGGATCCGCCATTTTGAATTTTGAAAATCTGACATCAGATTCGTAATCAGCGACCTGGAAAACCCCGAGATACCAGGTTTCATATAAAATTATTTATTTGTACAAGATTTCCTATCACCTTTCAATTAAGGGTTGTTTTTACCCCTAAAAACAAAAAATGACCTGATCTAGCAAAACGGCCAGACACGGGTATCTTTTTTTTGGTCCTAGTTTCTGAAAATCATTGATTTATTCGTGTGTGAAAAATCGTGTCGGACGGTGTTATTGATGAAAATTATAAGTTGATAAAAATAATATTAAATACAAACTGTTAAAAGAAATTTATTTTTTATTACAGCTGATGATGAGAGTGATGAAGAGGATGGCCTTGTCGAAGAATAAATTACAAGCCTCGAACTAAGTACCTAAATTAAGGAAAAGTACTTAATTTTAAAAAGAGTACGTAAAAGTACTTAAATTTGACCAAAACTATTTAAAGTACGTAATTTACACTAAAAGTACTTAAATTACGTAGTTTTTATTTAAAAAAAAGTTTTTGATATATCTATTTTTTAAGACTATTTATTTATATATATATATATATATATATAGTAATTAAAAATCAGGAAAAAGGGGTAAATTCAATTATATCTTAAAACACGGTAAATTATATAAGTCTCCTATGTATGAAATCATTAGAGTTAATTTTTCAGTGTAAAATAGAAAATAATTGTTTAATATTTGAGTAAAATTTACGGTTTTTAAAAATTTCATTATAAGTTTTTAAACAAAATTTTATCATTGTTTTTCAAAGTGTTGCTTATATTATAAAAATTAAATTTTTAACATAAGCTGACTAAAAATGTTACTTTAATATTAAAATTATTTTTAAAACTCATAAAAATAGGTATTTTAAATAAAATACATAAACTTGCTGCAGAAACTATATCACTAAATACATTTTTAAATTACAAATCATCATTTTGAATAATAAAAGTAAAAAATCTTGGTACGTAAATTAGTCCCCATTTTCTCCTCTTTTGTTACTTAAGGTACCTAATTTTTAATGCCAAAGCGAGTTTAAGGCCTGAAATTATCGTCGAAGAAATAGGTAACCAAAAATATAGGTGCTCTCGTTTTAAAGAAAATGTTTTCGGTTAGAAATTTGTTTCCATTATCAATGGTCTCATATACTACAATGTTTTTTCGGTATTTTATTAACACGTTCGCATAGAAAAATGTCGTTATTTTTATTTAAAGACAAAATTTTTCCAAAAATTTTACAAATAAGGTGAATGTCCCAATTTGGGAACACTGAATATGGAAAGCTTTTATAGTTATAAAAATTTTATCTATTACAAATATACACGAAATTAAATAAAACAAAATTTGCAACATTATTTTAAGGTGACTTTCGTTTTAATTTGCATTTATGTAAAAACTGTCCACATATTTTTTCATGTTCCCAAATTGGGACATTTACCTTACTGTGTAATATAAATTCTGTATATAAATTGGTGTATAAAATAGGAAAATTGAAGCAGCGCCAAATATTAATAATACTTTGTAATATTTAAGTAGTGTTTATGAATTCAGAAAATAACTTTTCAGCGTTTGTTTATAAAGTTTTATTTAATAATTTAAGTTTGTATTTTGTTTTGTAAATCAAAAAAAGTGATGTAAATTTAATTTAATTTTATTTCTCTCAAGTGATAAAATATGTTAAAATTGTCTAGTATATAAGAAAAGCACATAATAGCTGCTGAAAGTAAAATCTTTTTAATGTCAGTTAATAAATGTAATGTGATTTAAATAAGCTGCAGTCGAATGTACCTACATAAAATTATTTTATTACTGCAATATTGTTTTCGATGATAAAAATAAAAATAAAATTAAAAGTATGTAATTTCATTATTTGGTTGGTATTTTTTATGAATTTCAAGAAATTTATCACTCACATAATACAAATTTTTTAAAATTGCTTTCTCAAACAATATTTATATTATAATATCTTTTAGAGTTTTGAACCAATTAAATTGTAATTTTTAATCACTGAACAAAATCTTTATAGCTTCCGAAAAATGTAAGAATAATTTTTTTTACATTTCTTATTGTTTATTTATAATTTTTGTCAATTTACGAACGGAGACGACTGGGATGGTTCATATGTTTTTTTATTTGCATTTTTTAAAAACACTTGGATCAATCAGACTTTTGTTGTAACTGTTTTATTTTGTCAAATGGTTAATTTATCGAAAGTTATACTTCATTTATTATTTGTTTAAACAACTTATTCTTTTTATTTGATAACTTTTATTGTATTGAACCTAGAAAAACGCATTTTTTCCTAATTTTGCAATTTATCAAGCTGAATATAGTAACAGGTAAAGAATAAATATGCAATTATTATTTAAACCATTGTTTAAACAATTTATTATTGTTATTTACTAACTTTTTTTGCACTGCACCTGGAAAAACGCAGTTTTTTCCTAATTTTGCAATTTATGAAGCTCAAGCTGAATATAATAACAGATAAAAAATAAACATGCAATTATTATTGTATTCAGCATGATAAATTGCAAAATTGGCAGAAAACTGCATCACTATAGGTACACTGTGAAAAAAGTTAGTAAATAGCAACAATTAGTTATTTAAACAATATTTAAAATAAGGATTTCATATTTAACGTTTTTATTATTATATTCAGTATGATAAATTGCAAAATTGGGAAAAAAGTGCATCTTTCCAGGCGCTCTGTAAAAAAAGTTATAAAATGGGAACAATTATTTGTTTAAAAAATTTTAATAAATAGTGGTGCCAAAGGTAATTCTAAATTTTATTTTATTTATATATTTAGAATTAATAACTACTACGAAAAGTTAACAAATTTTCAGTAATATGCTACTGTCTATGGGTATTCGGAAATGTTATAAATTATTCATAATAAATTGTTTAAACAAATAAAGAATGCAACATAACATTAATAAAATACACTATTGGGCGACGTATAACAGTTCTAGAAAAAAAACTTAATGATTTAAAGTCTATTTTGTAATTTATAATTAAGAAAACATTTGACCGGCGAAGGTTAATCACATTTTTCGCAATTATATTTCATAAAAACATGTTCTACATATGTAAAATAATAAACTATTAAATATTTCATGGGTCACCTATGTGGTGACCCATGAAGGTCAACACATAGGTAGACCCATGTGTAAAGACCCATGTGTAGACCTATATGAGATCCTACGTGGGTCACTACATGGGTCACCATATGGGATCCCATGTGGTGACCTACATAGGTTTTTTCAGTAGGGTA